GGCCACACCCTTGATCTTGCCATCACTGGTGATGTCACGGTTACCAAAACCCACACTCTTGAGCTTGGCATGTCAGACCACCGGATGGTGCTACTGGATGTCATGTCTCACCCATTGGATCCTGGCAAAAAACGTACCATAACCTTCCGTAAGACCAAGGACATAGACCATAGTCAGCTAACGTCTGCCCTCTCCTCTTCCCTATCCAGGCCCCATGCTGCACTCTCACTTGAAGAGCATGTGCACCGGTATAATAACACCCTGCATGAGTGCCTGGACAGGCTGGCACCTGAAATAACCCGAGTGGTGTCTTTCCATCGCTCTGCCCCATGGTACACTGACCAGCTCAGAGCGCAAAAATCAGAGGGTCGGAAGATTGAGCGCAGATATAGGAAAACTGGCCTAACTGTCCACCTGCTCTCTTTTAGAGATCACCAGAAGGCCTATTCCTCGGCATTGAGAGCAACCAGGTCAGCCTACTACTCCAATCTGATTGAGACAAATCGAAACAAACCCAAGCACCTATCCCTCATCAACCACTCCTACAACTGATGACTGCAACCGCTTTATGGAGCTTTCAAAAATTATCTCAGCTATGACCTCATCTAGCTGCGCCCTTGATCCTATCCCCACCTCCCTACTGAAAACCTGCTCTCCATCCATTATTCCAACTGCCACCATCATAATTAACAAATCCTTGTTGAGTGGTGAGGTCCCCCCCTCCCTCAAGCTGGCAGCCATCACACCTGTCCTCAAGAAGCACAATCTGGATCCTGAGGTACTCACAAACTACCGCGCCATCTCAAACCTGCCTTTTCTAGCAAAAGCTCTGGAAAAAGTTGTTGCCCTTCAGCTTCACGAACATCTCCATACTCATGAGCTCTATTACCCCTTTCACACCGGCGCTTTTCCAGCTCCTGCTGGGAGCTAGAGCCTGAAAAGCGCCGGTTTTTCCTGTTCACACCGCAGCGGCGGCGCGTCATAGCTCCAGAAAGCGGTTCACTTCCAGCTCCAAAAAATTGTCGGTCCAGAGGCAAGAGCTTCGGAGCTATGACGCGGCGTCGCTTACGTCGAGGCGTGCAGGAAACCTTACTTTGACCATCCGTTCGCTGTTATTGATCATTGTGGAGATACATGGGCTATACAGGTTGTCATGTCCGACTATCAGAAGTAGAATCATAATGAAAAATACGCCGGTAAAATGTGCCTATAGAAAACGGCTTAGCAAGTAGTCAGTTTAGCTTCGGTTGCTATGCTAACATCACCCATGTTATACCAGAGAAACTTTCATAACAGCGTTGTGATGCCAAACAGCGTCAATTCAGACTGACACACATTCACTTAAGGGGAACTGGGGATATGTATCAGCTGCTTGTGTGACAGTCAGACAGTGAATACTTTAGAGCCGTGTGAGCTAACCCGGAGCTAACGGGAGAATAAACTCCCGTGGAAGTGCAGCCACTGCAGCGGTCGGTAAATGCCGCTGAAACACATTAATAAACAATGAACCACGGCACTCTGGAGAAAAGTATAAGGTTGGAGAAGTCGTTATTTAATTTAATCTGGCTTCGTATGATTAAAAGCAACACGACCCGATGCAGTCCCCGGCCCGTTGTTGTTGTGGGAGAAAATCAGCGACGTAAACTTTGACGTCATGACGCAGCAGCGGCAGCTCTGGGCAGTGTGAACAGAGCGGGAGCTGAAAAGGGAAACGGGAGCTGAACCAGAAAAGCTCTCGCGAGGAGCTAGAAAGTGAAAAGCGCCGGTGTGAAAGCCGCTTATGAAACCTTCCAGTCTGGTTTCAGACCAGCACATAGCACTGAAACAGCTCTGGTCAGGGTTCTAAATGACCTGCTGATGGCGGCTGACTCTGGTTTCCCAAGCCTACTCATCTTGCTGGACTTAAGTGCAGCATTTGACACTGTTGACCATCGCATCATGTGTCGGCGACTCCAGGAGGTGGGAATCGCTGGCAAGGCTCTGGACTTTTTCCACTCGTACCTCACAGGAAGACAGGAATATGTCCGTCTTGGAAAAAGCACCTCCGACACACACTGTGTCACCTCTGGTGTACCCCAAGGATCAGTCCTTGGGCCACTGCTCTTTTTAATTTACATGTTGCCCCTGGGACAAATACTGAGGAGCTATAACATCAGCTTCCACACATATGCTGATGACACACAGATTTATTTCCAAACTGCCCCGGATAAACATCTGGCACTTTCAAATGTCTCAAGATGCCTGGAACACATACACCACTGGATGAGCAACAACTCCCTCCAACTAAATAGCAGCAAATCAGAGGCCATTCTGATTGGAACACCACATCAAACACAAAAAACTGATATCCCTCATAGCAGCATCAATGGCCACTCCATTCCCCTCTCCCCGCTTGTAACGAGCCTAGGTGTGAAACTGGACTCATCCCTTTCATTCCAAGCACACATAAAGACGGTCTGCCAAGCCTCATACTACCACCTAAGAAACATCTCAAAAATGCGACACTCCCTCACCAAACCGGATGCAGAAAAACTGGTCCATGCCTTCATCACCTCCCGCATTGATTACTGCAATTCTCTGCTTGCAGGCCTTCCAGCAAAAACCACTCAGAGACTATAATATATACAAAACTGTGCCGCCAGGATACTCACAAAAACACGCAAATCAGAGCACATCACCCCCATCCTTCACTCACTCCACTGGCTCCCTGTAACACACCGGATCAACTACAAAGTCCTCATAATGGTCTTCAACACCATCAACCACACTGGCCCCACCTACCTACAGGAACTGCTAACCAGAAAACATTCACATACCTCACGCACACTCAGGTCAGACAGCTCCAATCTCCTGGCTGTCCCGCGGACAAAACTGGTCACCATGGGAAACCGTGCTGTCTCCTCCCTGGGTCCACGTCTGTGGAATCAGCTTCCAGAGAACATACGGACCTCAGCATCACTCTCAGTTTTTAGGAAATGCCTCAAGACCCACCTGTTCCACGCCGCATTTTACTGACTGTCCTTTACTTTATTTATTTTTTTAAACCTTCTATGCTCTTAACCTTTTATTTTTATTTTTATACTGCCATATTTTATCCAATATGCTCCTTTAGATAACTTTTTACTTATTGTTCCTTATAGCTTTGTGAAGCACCTTGAGATGACGTTGTTTTTAAAGTGTGCTATATAAATCAAATGTATTATTATTATTATTATTACTTTAAAGAGTCCTCTTCTGCTGATGTTCAGGTGTATATCAGTATGTAGTGTCTCTACTTCAAAGAGTCCTCTCCTGCTGATGTTCAGGTGTATATCAGTATGTAGTGTCTCTACTTTAAAGAGTCCTCTCCTGCTGATGTTCAGGTGTATATATCAGTATGTAGTGTCTCTACTTTAAAGAGTCCTCTCCTGCTGATGTTCAGGTGTATATCAGTATGTAGTGTCTCTACTTTAAAGAGTCCTCTCCTGCTGATGTTCAGGTGTATATCAGTATGTAGTGTCTCTACTTTAAAGAGTCCTCTCCTGCTGATGTTCAGGTGTGTATCAGTATGTAGTGTCTCTACTTTAAAGAGTCCTCTCCTGCTGATGTTCAGGTGTATATCAGTATGTAGTGTCTCTACTTTAAAGAGTCCTCTCCTGCTGATGTTCAGGTGTATATCAGTATGTAGTGTCTCTACTTTAAAGAGTCCTCTCCTGCTGATGTTCAGGTGTATATCAGTATGTAGTGTCTCTACTTTAAAGAGTCCTCTCCTGCTGATGTCCAGGTGTATATCAGTATGTAGTGTCTCTACTTTAAAGAGTCCTCTCCTGCTGATGTTCAGGTGTATATCAGTATGTAGTGTCTCTACTTTAAAGAGTCCTCTCCTGCTGATGTTCAGGTGTATATCAGTATGTAGTGTCTCTACTTTAAAGAGTCCTCTCCTGCTGATGTTCAGGTGTATATCAGTATGTAGTGTCTCTACTTTAAAGAGTCCTCTCCTGCTGATGTCCAGGTGTATATCAGTATGTAGTGTCTCTACTTTAAAGAGTCCTCTCCTGCTGATGTTCAGGTGTATATCAGTATGTAGTGTCTCTACTTTAAAGAGTCCTCTCCTGCTGATGTTCAGGTGTATATCAGTATGTAGTGTCTCTACTTTAAAGAGTCCTCTCCTGCTGATGTTCAGGTGTATATCAGTATGTAGTGTCCTCTACTTTAAAGAGTCCTCTCCTGCTGATGTTCAGGTGTATATATCAGTATGTAGTGTCTCTACTTTAAAGAGTCCTCTCCTGCTGATGTTCAGGTGTATATCAGTATGTAGTGTCTCTACTTTAAAGAGTCCTCTCCTGCTGATGTTCAGGTGTATATCAGTATGTAGTGTCTCTACTTTAAAGAGTCCTCTCCTGCTGATGTTCAGGTGTATATCAGTATGTAGTGTCTCTACTTTAAAGAGTCCTCTCCTGCTGATGTTCAGGTGTATATCAGTATGTAGTGTCTCTACTTTAAAGAGTCCTCTCCTGCTGATGTTCAGGTGTATATCAGTATGTAGTGTCTCTACTTTAAAGAGTCCTCTCCTGCTGATGTTCAGGTGTATATCAGTATGTAGTGTCTCTACTTTAAAGAGTCCTCTCCTGCTGATGTTCAGGTGTATATCAGTATGTAGTGTCTCTACTTTAAAGAGTCCTCTCCTGCTGATGTTCAGGTGTATATCAGTATGTAGTGTCTCTACTGGGACATGTCTCCATGCTTTAATGTTCAAAAAGCTCTTTATTTTTCTCATACTGCCTGTGCTGCAGCACCTCTTTTCACCCTCTGTCTGAAACCAGAGCCCAGTCTGCTCTGATTGGTTAGCTGGCCGGCTCTGTTGTGATTGGTCAACTCCTTAGAGATGTCCCGCACCTTAGCCTATCACGTACAATGTGTTGGAGCGCTAGCCAATAGGAGCAGGAGTGTTACATAAATGTCACAAAAACTTATATCACAGGAAGTGAAAACCCCCAAAAGCATAACAGGGCCCCTTTAAGTTTGTTTTAACATATTTTTATTCCATTTCTATTATTTTAACAGATTAAATATAACATGACCTTTAGAAAACATCCATCAAAATCCTTCACTGGAATGATATACATATATATATGATCTCTTAAAACATTGAATAAAAATAGTGCACAAACCAGCAGTAAAAATAAAGTAGTGTCAGTTACGATAGTGTCCTTAAGGGTTATTGCATATAGACGTTGTTTATGAAGCTCAGTAGTGGCCATGTTTGATCATTGATCACAGATTGTATCTTCTTCTTTTCATAACAGAACAAACTCATCCATGCTGTTGCTCACACTCTTCATGCCTTTGTTCCTCTGGATGTACGCCATGTTGTTTGTTGGCATTTTGCTTCTCTCCTCCTCCTCTTGACTTCTGCCTTCTGCAAAAATAAAAATGGGGTACGTCGATGCTGATGTGGTGAGAGCCTGTGAGGGAACAAATACACCTTATTAGTCATTTTGTAAAATCAAAATGAATTCTGAGACTGTTATTAGCAAATCCAAAAGCAACGCGTTAGCAAATAAAACAGATAACAAATAATATATAAAAGGGCAGAAAGAGGCAGAAACCACCCTGGGCTTTTTTGCAGCCTGCACCTGAATTACGTTATAATAATGACTAATATATAAACAAAAATTATATGAATTCAATAGTGCTAGCAAACTTTGAGAACATAAATCAACAAATAATAATTTATAAAATAATAATAACAATACATAAAGAAAAGTATGTATTAAAGGTCACCTATCATGCTATTTTTAGGCAATAGCATAGGTCTATAGGATATATAAAAATATATAAAAAACATGTCTATGAAGTGTTTAGCTCAAAATACCAAACAGATCACCCATTCTAGCCATGCCTCATATCCCTCTATTTCACTTCCTGTTTCAAAAGTGCTGATTTGGGGTATATAGCTTTAAAAAATAAAAAAGGAGGGGTCTGAGCTCATGCGGGACCCGGCAGCTACTGTCTAAACTAAATACTGCCGTGATGAAACGCCATATCATGGATTATCAAGGATTCTTTCTGAAACAGTTTGGAGCTCAAAGGCTTTCTCTCTTGCCGGTTATACCACAAGGTGAGTTCCTTTTTATTTCCTGCTTCTTCACACACATGCTCTCCAGTACAGGTTAGCTCTGAGAGTTAGCGATGCTAATGTAAACACCGACCATATTACGTCCAAAACAGTCGGGCATTGTTTCTGATAGCAACGTTTCTGATAGGGCCGTGGGTCCACATTTCAGATATTACGTCATATCGGACGCAAATCTGGATCAGCTCCGTTGTTCCCCCGTTTTTAGAGATTTGGGTACGGAGGAAAAGAGAGAGGGTTTTATTTTCTGACGCTGCGTGAGTTCCCTGACTCACCGGGGACACATATTGATGTATAAAAGACACCAACAAGTGAATTTTGCATGATAGGTCCCCTTTAATAACAATAAATAATAAAAATAAACTCAATAGTGCTAGCAAACTTAAAAGAAAAGTAGAAGTAGTAAAATAACAATTCAATGTATTAAAATAAAGGAAATGTGATTATAAAAAGTATATAAGTATGTGTGTATATATGTTGTATGTCACATAGGTAGTTGCATGAAGATAAATACCACATACCTCGTTAACGGCGGTGCAGAGTGACTCAAAGTCTCTGTGGCCTTTAGCGTAGAAGCCGATGGTGCAGCTGGGGTCCATTCGAGAGAAAGACATCTTCCTCGGATATTTACAGTGAAACGACTGCAAGAGGAGGGAAGAGGAAAGAATATTAAATCAGGGGACATCGCTCCATAGTAATAATAATCCTGTAATAAATCTCATGTGGAGATTATGTTTTTATTTAATTGAGATGATACAAAATTAAAACACGGGAAGTTTAGAGTTAGATTAGGCATGATGATGATATAATGTATACAAAGGGGGCTAGGATATGTCCTTGTGATGTCGTCATATTGATCCTTCATTTTTTAAAACTCTTTCATTTACGTATAAATCCCTAAATGGCCCCGCCCTACCTCTCTGAGTTGCTACACCCCTACACGCCTTCTCAGGTCAGCTGATCACCTGCTCCTGAATGTGCCAATAACAAGCTCAAAAGGGGGGCCGTGCTTTCGCTGCTGCGGCCCCTAAACTGTGGAGCCCCTCCACATCAGACAGGTCAGTTTTTAAAGAGCCCATGTCATGCTTTTCCGGTTATTACCCGTCCCCTTGTGTGTTATGAAGGTTTTTATGCATGTAAACGGTGTGCAGAGTCAAAACCCTCAAAGTACACCCTGTAGCGAGTAAAACTCTAACACAGAAAATACCTCCCCAAAACGCCTCGTTGGAGATACGTCACTGCCCATTTGATTCTTCCGGGTACGGCATGATGTCAACCCGTACCCGGAACGGAATGGACCAATCCGTGGAGCCGTTACGTTACGTCCGCGGAGCCGTTACGTTAAGCCCCCGCTGATTGGTCCAAATTGACCAATCCACGGACTTCCTCACACACACATCTGTGTGCAGGGAGCAGGCAGCTCAGCTGATTTCTCCTCCCTGGCTGCAGGCTGATAACAGACAGTTGGGATCGCGGCGAAATTCTCTCTGCAGACCCATTCTCACAGCGTTTATCAACCTTTTTCTTACTCAATATCAAGCCACACTCATTGTTTTTACTTCGGCTGTGAGTTTGTGTGTGCTCAGGATGAGTTTGGCTGTGTTTCGCTATGTATCCTAAACAAGGAAACAACACCTCCACGGAGCTCTGCGCGATTCACAACGTCCCGACCAATCAGAGCACACTGTGCTCACAGGGAGGGTGGGGGCTGGAGCTATTGGAGCTACAACGAGCCGTTAAAGGCAGAGAGTGAAATTCAGTGAATACATGTAGTTTACAGAGATGCTGTTTGAGAAACCAATGTGAGTTTGGAAAAATGCACAGTATAAATCTATTCTAATAGACCTCAACAATGGAATTATGATCAGTGGAAATGGCCATGACATGGGCCCTTTAAACCATGTTTTAAAGCCCACCTTTTCTCCTTAGCGTTCTGCACTTTGTAGGTTGTTGCTTTTAAATGGTATATTGCTTTTACTATATGGCTGTGGTTTTTACCCTTGTTTTTATTTTGTGTTCTCATCTTATCCATTTGTTTTTGTTTTGTGAGCTGCGCTGTGTGATTTTTGTATTTCTCTGTGCAGTACTTTGGTCTGGAGGTTTAAATAAAGTTGGATTGGAACACCAATAGTATGTCGTACCACTGGTTACAAAGGTGTTTTACCTCCAGGGGGAAGTTCTCCTTTGTGATGTCCACAGTGAGCTGACAGTAGTGAGGGTCCAGGTACAGCAGGTGGTCGTCTTCGACAGAAAGAAAAGAAAATTCAGTTTCATAACTTACTTTATTGTCCATTTAAAGGGGACCTATCATGCAAAATGCACTTTTGTACGTCTTTTCTACATGAATATGTGTCCCCGGTGTTCCAGGGAACTCACCAAGTGTCAGAAAACACAACCCTCTCTATTTTCCTCCATACCCAAATCTCTAAAAAAGGGGCTGCAACGGATCTGATAAAAACTGATCCAGATTTGAACACTGTCCTGACGTCAGGACGGTGGCGCTACGGCTATTGGGCCAACTCCACCAATCAGGAGGAGACAGCCACGGCCATTGCCGTTCGAAAGCGCTGGAGACGCTGTAGTACATATGCCAGGCCTGTAGGTGGTGCTGTTCTCACTGAATCTGCCCTTGCTAAAACAGAGCTAAAAAATGTCAAATTGAGCAAAATGAGGCATGGCTAAAATGCATGATCTGTTTGGTATTTTGAAAAAAAAAAAAGTATAAATATGCCTTATATAGGTATGGTTCTAACCTATATTATTCAAATATAGCATGATAGGTCCACTTTAATTTACAAATAATGGAAATGTGTCTTTGGCTAAATGTGATTGACTGACATCAAACAGCAGGGTTATATCTGATGCACGTTGTGACTGCACTTACCCTGGAATCCAGTGAAGAATAACGAGTGCTTTGGTTTTCCCCCGATGATCCCAATGCAGCATTGTAATGTCAACAGTTTCTACAGGAGAGAAGAGAGAGAGGGTTATTTATTATGTATCCTAATTCCCCACTCAGTGTCAACAGACTGCTCATCATAGTGACTGCATTAAATAATTTTCGGTTACTTTGACACATGAGATGTAGGAGCGGTTCAGCTCTTGTCCTCCGAGGCGAACGGGTACCAGGATGATGACGGACCTCCAGGCCTGAGGGGGGTGGCGCTCACACAGCCTCCTCACATCCTCCAGGTAGACTGAACACACACACACACACACACACACACACACACACACACACACACACACACACACACACACACACACACACACACACACACACACACACACACACACACACACACACACACACACACACACACACACACACACACACACACACACACACACACACACACACACACACACACACACACACACACACACACACACACACACACACACACACACACACACACACACACACACACACACACACACACACACACACACACACACACACACGAAATATGTCTGTGTCCACAATGCATTTGAATTACAGTTAAATTAATCGCTCAAACACAATGCAGTTGATAGGCTAAGGGGCGGGACATCTCTAAGCGAGAGTACTCTTTAAAGTAGAGACACTACATACTGATATACACCTGAACATCAGCAGGAGAGGACTCTTTAAAGTAGAGACACTACATACTGAGATACACCTGAACATCAGCAGGAGAGGACTCTTTAAAGTAGAGACACTACATACTGATATACACCTGAACATCAGCAGGAGAGGACTCTTTAAAGTAGAGACAGTACATACTGATATACACCTGAACATCAGCAGGAGAGGACTCTTTAAAGTAGAGACACTACATACTGAAATACACCTGAACATCATCAGGAGAGGACTCTTTAAAGTAGAGACACTACATACTGATATACACCTGAACATCAGCAGGAGAGGACTCTTTAAAGTAGAGACACTACATACTGATATACACCTGAACATCAGCAGGAGAGAACTCTTTAAAGTAGAGACACTACATACTGAAATACACCTGAACATCATCAGGAGAGGACTCTTTAAAGTAGAGACACTACATACTGATATACACCTGAACATCAGCAGGAGAGGACTCTTTAAAGTAGAGACACTACATACTGAAATACACCTGAACATCATCAGGAGAGGACTCTTTAAAGTAGAGACACTACATACTGATATACACCTGAACATCAGCAGGAGAGGACTCTTTAAAGTAGAGACACTACATACTGAAATACACCTGAACATCAGCAGGAGAGGACTCTTTAAAGTAGAGACACTACATACTGATATACACCTGAACATCAGCAGGAGAGGACTCTTTAAAGTAGAGACACTACATACTGAAATACACCTGAACATCAGCAGGAGAGGACTCTTTAAAGTAGAGACACTACATACTGATATACACCTGAACATCAGCAGGAGAGGACTCTTTAAAGTAGAGACACTACATACTGAGATACACCTGAACATCAGCAGGAGAGGACTCTTTAAAGTAGAGACACTACATACTGATATACACCTGAACATCAGCAGGAGAGGACTCTTTAAGTAGAGACACTACATACTGATATACACCTGAACATCAGCAGGAGAGGACTCTTTAAAGTAGAGACACTACATACTGATATACACCTGAACATCAGCAGGAGAGGACTCTTTAAAGTAGAGACACTACATACTGATATACACCTGAACATCAGCAGGAGAGGACTCTTTAAAGTAGAGACACTACATACTGATATACACCTGAACATCAGCAGGAGAGGACTCTTTAAAGTAGAGACACTACATACTGATATACACCTGAACATCAGCAGGAGAGGACTCTTTAAAGTAGAGACACTACATACTGATATACACCTGAACATCATCAGGAGAGGACTCTTTAAAGTAGAGACACTACATACTGATATACACCTGAACATCATCAGGAGAGGACTCTTTAAAGTAGAGACACTACATACTGATATACACCTGAACATCATCAGGAGAGGACTCTTTAACAGAAAAGACTCACCAGTACAATCTTGTGCGACATACACGACTAGATTGGGAATATCTGTTGATGCTGCCACTGCTTTCCTGAAAAAACAAGTTATCTTTAGCAACATCTTGATAAATTGGATAATTGTGCTGTGCCGTCACGTCTTCATGTCTCACCGGAGGATGTGAGCAGCGATGGACGGACCGTACCAGTCCCCGGCCTTCTTCCCAGAGCTTTTCCCTAACTCTACCAGCTGGTGAATCCCAAACGGAGCAGAGGGGTGGTCTGTGAACCAGGACACCACCCGCCTGTGAGTGGCCTCCATGGGTCGGTCCAGCAGGGAGCCCAGGCTCAGCTTCCTGCTCCTCTTGGTGGGTCCTTCCTTCACTTGCTGTCCGCTCTCTGCACTTTCTGTGGAGCGGAGCAGCTCCAGGTCGTCTTTGACCGCATGGTGGCTCACACACCAAGTCCAGCCTCAACATGGTGGAAGGATAAAGTAACATACGATAAGATAAGATGGACCTTTATTATTATCCCAGTGGGGAAATTCAGTAGTTTAACAGCAACAGGGTGAGAATGAAAATCAGGACAGCACAGATTAGAGATTAATAAAGTAACAAATAAAATGATATACAGTTAAAGGTGGGGTAGGTAAGTTTGAGAAACCAGCTCGAGATCGCTAGAATTTGAAAATACACAACCGGAGAAAATCTGCCACTTCCTTACAGAGCCCCTCCTCCAACACACACGAACGCGCACATGACCAATGAGGGCACGAGATAAGTCTGTGCACAGATGGAAGGCTGACAGGCAGGAAGGCCATCCAGTTATTTTAGCCGGGCCGGCTCAGATGATTGGTTGTGCTTTTTACAGTATTACGGCTTCCACAGATGACTTTTTTTATGGATTTTTTGTCAAAGCACTTAAGATATTCATTGCTATCGGGATGTTAAGAGCATTCCATGGAATATAACAAAAAGTGTATCTCGAGCCGGTTTCTCAAACTTACCTACCCCACCTTTAAGTAACTTTAAAATAAGAAATGAATTAAATGAACATATATACATATTTGGGTCATATATACTAGTTAGATATATTTACTAGGGGTGGGCGGATCGATCCCAAAATATCGATACTTCCGATATTACGATACGTTTCAAAATATCGATACTAGAGCCAATAGGATCAATACTTTTATACTTTCCCCCCCCCTCTCCTCTACTCGTCAATTTCATCAAAAACCATGTGCAGACGAACACAAGTATGCGCTCTTTTCTTCTCGCTCCACTGCTGTCCTCCTCCACACACACACACACACACACACACACACACACACACACACACACACACACACACACACACACACACACACACACACACACACCACACACCACACACACACACACACACACACACACACACACACACACACACACACACACACACACACACACACACACACACACACACACACACACACACACACACACACACACACACACACACACACACACACACACACACACACACACACACACACACACACCACACACACACACACACACACACACACACACACACACACACACACACACACACACACACACACACACACACACACAATGGCTGAGAGAAAGAGGATCGTTGTGTGGAGCTATTGCACTACTGTCAATGAAAACTTAGCAAGAAGGCAGTTCGCTACTGTGGCCACTATGTATTGTTATAAAGTATCGGTATCGGTATCGGCGATACTGGCCCTGAAATACTTGGTATCGGATCGAATCCAGATTTTGTGGTATTGCCCACCCCTAATATTTACATGTATGTGTGAAAACAGTGTGTATTTTATGTCCAGTACTTGTGTCACAACACGAGAGTTTTCAATGTCACCAGGTATCTTTGTGATATAGGGTTCAAATATATTTTTATTTCATTGTTTCTCTGTTAAGCTAACCAGTAAAAATCTGCTTTCACATTGATCTTCTTTGAATAGAAAGCGTTCAGGCTGAAAAATCCAATATATATATATGTATTTTTTCGACATTGTTTGTGTGCAGGTGTGTGTGTGTGTGTGTGTGTGTGTGTGTGTGTGTGTCACCTGGGGGCATGAGGTGCAGCAGCAGGCCTCGGGCCAGCAGCATCTGCCCGGTGCGTAACACACACCCCCAGCCGCTGTCTGAGGTCAGAGCGCCGCCGGGCAGCGGAGAGAAACCCCGTCTGTACGTCAGCCACAGGAGGGAGGAGAAGACGCGGCGGAAACATTCCCTGTCCCCTGAAACAGAGGGGGAACATTTCAGACATCTTCCTGGGTCCATCTTTCTTTTTTCTTTTCAACAGCATACAGTTATTCTATCAGAGCATGTACCAGCACAGAAAACCAGTCAGCTAAAACAAAAATGTCAATAACAAACAATAAATGTCAGTACGGCAGCACCTCCTCCCCGCGACAACCCGTTCAGTGGTCCATCTTTTTTTATATCTCTTATGAAGGACAGACCATTTATTTATATTTATTTCTTCATTTTGAGAAAGGGGCAGGTAATATAAGATGATGTTCTTCTCCCTGCTCCTTTTCGGGCATGGTGTGTTTTTTGGGGCTTTCTTTGGGAGTTTTTCCTGCGAGGGTCTAAGGTCAGAGGGTGTCGTACTTTGTATTAACTGTGAAACCCCGTGAGATGAATGTGTAGTTAGTGAGACTGGGCATCATAAACATTACATGTCATTTGTTAGACGCTTTTATCCAAAGCGACTTACATACTCAATACTGTGGACAATCCCCACAGGAGCAATTTGGGGTGAAGTGTCTCAGGGACACAACGACATGCTGACTGCAGTGGGACTTGAACTTGCTACCCCCTGAATCGAAGTCCAGCACACTATCCACTGAGCCACAGCCACCCTAAACAAAACTGGATTGATTGAGATGAAGACACATTTCAGGCGGCCTCACCGTGATCCTTGAGCTCGTAGGATTGTCCGAACATGATGACAGGAGACCTCTTACTGAACTTCGATTTCTGCTTCAAGGACCAACCTGAGAAACGAGGAACAGTTTCACCTCACAAAGTGAAAGAGAACAAACTGTGCTGATGATATAGCTTCTAGTTTAAATGTCAGAAGGTATGTGGAAATATGTGAGGTTTCATTCCCTCTAATATCGTACTTCATATCGTAATTGCAATATTAGTCAATATAATAGTATTTTTGTTCCAAATCTTCATCTCACAAACTGAAAGAGAACAATAGGCGCGTTCACACCGGAGTACTTTTCCCGTTTAGTTCCGATAGTTCCTGGGATTTTGCGTTCACACCAAAAAGAGAACTTAGTTCATGAGAACTTTCACCCCCTTTTTAATCCCTGCTAGAGAGGTGGTACTTTCCTGGGGAGAAAAAAGTTCCAATTTCTGATTGGCTGGGCGAATTGCAAACCACGCCCCGTAAAACTCTGAAAAGTGTTTTGAAGCCGCCATTGTATTTGCTGGCATTAGCATTATTAGCATTAGCATTAGCCCGGCGCACCAACGGAGAGAGAATAACTTATGGCAACACAAAAGAAAACATGGGAGCGGTGGAGATGAGGAGGTGTCGGCGTTCTGGCGATTTACTCGGAAGGCTTCAGTAGAAGCTGCTGGGAGTCCCAGCAGCTTCTACTGAAGCCAGTCCCCAACTCCGGGGACTTCCGGCCGGGGACTTCGGGTGGCAGTATACGCCGTGAAGTTGTTTGCGGCCTGCCAGTAAACCCAAAGCAGAAGAAGAAGAAGTGACGTCAGCGGCTTAATTTGCGTAATCCTCCCTCAGGGACTTATTCCGGTGTGAACGCGATCTGCTCTTAGTTCCATGGGGGTACTAAGTGCTGGGAACTAAGTGCTGGGAACTAAGTGCTGGGAACTAAGTGCTGGGCACTAAGTACGGCAAAGTACTTGGTGTGAAAGCGGCTACAGTGTTCTTATGATATAGTTCCTAGATTACATTTCAGAAGGTCAAATATGTGAACCTGTGAATGAGGTGTAATTCCCTCTACTGTCGTAATTCATATCACAACAATTTAGTCAAAATAATAGTATTTTTTGTTCCAAATCTTGCCGCCCTTGTTGGTAAAAACAGACCATATTTGACGCTGTTCCAGGCTGAGATGAACCTGGATCTGAGTGGTCCTCGGTCCTCCGTCTCCTGCGGTTCCCGGCTGGGTCCTGGAGGCTGGGCGGATTCAGAGGAGAGGAAGAGCCAGTCGCCCTCCTCTTCCTCAGGAGGCTGGGAGGAGGTGCTGGGGTTCATACCGACAGGAGAAGATCGAAACCAGAAGAATTTCTCCTTATCTCCATTTCAGCCTGGGAGAAACACAAGGCAAGGCAAGTTTATTTATAATAATAATAATAATAGATTCAATTTGTATAGCGCCTTTCAAGGGACCCAAGGCTGCTTTACATGGTGAACAAACAAACAAACAAAAGGGGCAAATAATAAAGTAAAATATTAAATAAATAGCAGTAGGAGTGGAAGCAGGGGGACTGCAGGGGTCAAAGGCCATGGTTTTTAGAGCACTTTTCAACACGAGGCAATTCAAAGTGCTTTACAAAAATGAAAGACATTAAGAGCATAAAACACATTAGAAAAAGCAAAGATAATAAAACATGAATAACAGGTACATGAATAAAAGTTACAGTGCAGTGTGAGATGTGAATAGCTCAATTAAAAGCAGCGGCAACAAGAAAAGTCTTCAGCCTGGATTTAAAAGTAGTCAGAGTTGCAGCGGACCTGTTTGCTCCAGATATTTGACAAGACCCCTAACCAAGTTCTCACATTCCTCTACCCCTAGTCTTCCCGTGAAATTATAGTTCTTTTGACACTTGTCTAACCTTTCACCCTTCTCTTTCATCCACACTAAACATGTGACACAACATCCATGAGGCAGCTGTTGTGGATTGGATCAATTACTCCTTATATTTGAGTTATTGTTCTTAAGATCTGACCCAGAACTGAAGGGATGATGTTAACCGCAGTAAAGTCAATAATTCTCCCGTGACATTAAGAGAAACCATGTGACTGCGTCCTGTGACTCCAGGAATGTCAGAGATCGTTCAGCCGCAGCAGAGAAGCTGGAGAAACGTTCTCAGGCACGTTTGGCTGCTTCCTCTAGACCAGGGGTGTCAAACTCAAATACACAGTGGGCCAAAATTAAAAAATGGGTACTAGTGGAGGGCCGGACTGGTTCAATGTTTATTGCAGAACTTATTGAAATGAACTTATTGCACATATTAAACCTGGAACTAACAAAGCTTAAATTATTGCCTATAAAAACAACATTAAACATTAAATAATCAGTTGCATTCATTTCTTATGGCTCTATCTGCAGAGTCATTTCTTATGATTACATTTTTCCACAGGCCAACAACAGCTTCAAAAAAACAATTTCCCTCAAAGAACAAACCAAACATGCCCTGTTGTCTCAAGATATTAAGTATGCAAATGAACTCAAACACCTCATGTTACAATTATTTTGCTGCTTGCTACAAAAGGAAAACTCGTATCGCAATGTCAGTTTTTTCCAATATCGTGCAGCATCTCATCTTTGGAGCAAGGTCATCAATGTTTGGGGTCAGGCTCTGAGCTGAGGAGACCCTCAGGATTGAGTGAAGGTGTGCGTGCAATAAACCGGCGGGCCAGATCTAATAGTAATTACAAATTATCCTGCGGGCCGAAATTAAATCCACCAAGGGCCTGATTTGGCCCCCGGGCCTTGAGTTTGACACATGTGCACTAGAGCGTTACTGAGGTACTAACAGGACGCCATATTTAGCGGGGCTGCACAATGAATCGTAATGTAAAAGTATATAGTGCAATGTTTGGTAAAGGCATAACGTGAAGTGAAAAGAGTACTAGATGTCCCTTAAGTGGGGTATGAGTGTACATTAGCAGACAAAGGTGATACTGTAAAGTACATCAAAGTTCTAGAGTAGGCCAGTAGGTGTTGATTCCACTTTGTTTAATGCATTAAAAGTGTCCATGTCATAACTAAGCTATCTCTCAAAAACACATTTCAAAAATAATGAGTAAAATAATCCATAACAATCATATATGGGTTAAAATATTAGATGTATGAAGCTCTTAGTTATGTGAAAAAGTGTTGATATGTCGCTCAGTAAAAGCCTCACTTTCAAACAGTATACTGTACACAAGTATGCTACTGAACTCTGTTTAATATGTAATCATGTTAAGGCAAAAGGTGGCCATTGACATGTTCATCCACTGATAAACTGCTTTCAAAATAACATGGCACCTAAATTCATCTACATCCATTTTAAAAGGAAATACTGCACTATACTTTATATACAGTGGTGGAGGAGATAGATCCTTTACTTAAAATACTCTACTACAAGTCAAACATATTTCATTTTATGATTTTTTTTTCAATTTAAGATACTTTTTTAAATAGTGGGTGGATTAGTAGTACAGTACTTCATCAAATCATATCATGTTTTCATGTGTAAAAAACACATCTAGTGGAGTAGCAGGTGAGGGTATGATCAAATGGAAATACTCAAGTTAAGTGTGTTAAAACAGTATTTAAGTACTATACTTAAGTAAATATACTTACTAGTCCACCACTGGTTATTTATAAGACGAAGTACGTCACAAACATTGGCTAGCTTACTGAAGTTAATACAAACAGGTACAAATACAACGTAAATACACGATAAAAACATAAAATGTACATTTAACAACCAGGAATATAGGATACTACTAATTAAAAATAACTCAAGGTCGAACAGAAATGTAGGTTAAAACTGAAAACCGGCCTCAAATCCTTCATTTTTAATTAATTTGTCATAAAACTTTTCCGTATCCTATATTTTAAATACAGTCCACTCGCGGTAAAAATGAGGATTTATGACATTTTAAAAGCATGACATTCATGTTTTACCTTCATTCGGGTATCGTCATGGTGTCTCCTTTTAATGAAAGCTACTTAATGAGTTTCTCTGAAGAAGCTCCTCTGTTTGTGTTCAGTTTCTGAAGAATCTCCGCTCCGTAGAAAGCGGAGTTAATCTCTGCACTCACTTCCTGTTTATACCTGTCACGTAGGAGCACTGTTGTGATTGGATAATAGAGGACCAATGAGAGTGAGGTAACAACAGAGGCGGAAGATGTACTCAGGTCTTGTACTTGAGTAAAAGTACTGCATTCAAAATGTTCCTCAAGTAAAAGTAGAAAAGTATTATCATCAAAATATAGTGAAAGTAGCGACAGTAAAAGTAGTCATTGTGCAGATTGGTCCATTTCAGAATAATATATATGATATGTTTTATAATGATTGATCATGAAAGTGTTCTCAAAGCTGGTAAAGGTGCAGCTAGTTTGAATGACTTTGTATACTGCAGGGTAGCTTGAGAATTTACTCCAGGTGGAACTAAAGTCTGATTTAACACTTGATTATATTTCACATCATTCATCCACATCTGTAAAGTAACTAAAGGGATTAAATACATGTAGTGGAGGAAAAGTACACCATTTACCTCTGAACTGTAGTGGGGTAGAAGTATGAAGTAGCATAAAAAGGGAAATACCCAACTACAATTCAGAGGTAAGGTATTGTTTTTTTAAATTATGAAGCATGTTAATAAAGAAAAGTCAGACAAAGGTTTGGGTTTCTCTGCATTTTATTACAGTTCTGCACTTTAGGCTTTTTTGCATTGCTTTTTTTTCACAATGGTGGCTAATAAACATGAAGCAATGTAATAAACAACAACAGGCAGAGAGGGTTGCTGCAGTAAAAATAAACAACAACACACAAAACAGCAAAATCACAGCTCCAGACAGAAAGGGGTCACAGTGGGAACACACACATTTCTCTAAATGCAAAATGTATAAATAACTCACTTCAGTAGTAAAGCAGAAAGTCACCAACTGATGACATGTGAAACATAATAAATAAAAAAAGTCTTATAAATAGAAAAATAAACCGGTAAATAACAATATTGTAAATAAAGTGCAATTTTTCTCACACAAAAACACCAACACATTGGGTAAATGTCTGAAAATATTGTAATAAATTAAACTGTTAAAGCTCAGGCTGCAACAAAACAATAATGCATTGTGTATTAAATGGAAAAATGTACACAAGTCTTTCTTTTTACCTCAGGACATGTGGTGTAATGTGACGTTTATCCATAAGGTGGCGATCTATGTCCATTGTCCAATCGGAGCCTTGTGTTTTCTGTTATATTTAATTAAAAAAACATGACTTAAAGGTCCCATGTCATGGCCATTTCTACTGATCATAATTCCATTGTTGAGGTCTACTAGAATAGATTTATATTGTGCAATTTTCCAAACTCACATTGGTTTCTCATACAGCATCTCTGTATAGTATGTGTATTCACCAGGTATTCACTCTATGTCCTAAACGGCTTGTTGGAGCCCCTGCCCCCCTCCCTGTGAGCCCAGTGTGCTCTGATTGGTCGGGACGTTGCGAGGCTCGTTGCTGCGATCTGCTGCGAGGAGCGGACAGCTTTCCGGGACGGCGATACAGCGAGACACAGCGAAACTCATCCTGAGCACACACAAACATTCACAGCCGAAGTAAAAACAATAAGTGTGGCTTGATATTGAGTAAGAAAAAGGTTTGTAACGCTGTGAGAATGGGTCTGCGGAGAGCATTTCTCCACCATCCCAACTCGTCTATTACCAGCGTTCAGGGAGCTCTATGCAAGTCAATGGGGACTCCCTGTTAGTTAGCCAAGGGATCCTGGTGTGTGAGGTGCTCCACGGATTGGTCCATTTGGGCCAATCCGGTCATTTGTTGTTGATTTGGGTGTTCACACGTCACAGAACCCAGGAAGCAAACAATGGAAAAAGAGAAATCTCCAACGAGGCGTTCTGGGGCAGCATAGACAGGTCTTTTCTGTGTTAGAGTTTTACTCGCTACAGGGTGTACTTTGAGGGTTTTTGACTCTGCAGACCGTTTACATGCAGAGAAACCTTCATAACACACAAGGGGACAGGTAATAACCAGAAAAGCATGACATGGGCCCTTTAAGCTCTAAGATGCTCTCAATATATCTACTCCTCGCTCTGCTTTAACTGTTGGGTGCTCTGTTTTATGAAACTGGGCACTGTTGGATTGCATATTATTATTATTATACATTAAACACAGAAAATAAACACTGGCACTTTCCTTCACGACACACACATCTGCATAAATAGCAAAAAGTGAATCTAGCCTAAACTCTCCTCACTAACACACACTCACTTCCTAAAATATATAATTGCACATGTTTACTACGACGACGCTTTGAGACTAAAATGTGTTTATTGCAACCCTTTTTCTTCTTCTTCTTCTTCACTGTAAACGCAGTAATCGGGGACACTGAGGGTGTTTCTCAATGTCGAGGACGCTTCCTTGGTAGGACATGTCCCTCCGAGTCAGGTCCTTCAGAAGCGAGGCAAGAATCCTTCCTAGCCTCGGAAAACGAAGAATGGTGGAACTAGCAGGTGTGCGTCATATGCGAGGCCTCGCCTTAAATGGAGCGCGATTTCCGCCAAAGATTTGGAAAATTGTTCCGTGCGCAAAGCATTGTGGGGATTTTAAGACCGCGGAGGATACACATGTGCAGCCTCGAAATTTCCCGGAACGAAGGACGCCGGCCTCGGTAGAATTCCAAGGATCCTGGACATTGGAACAGTCCTTCGGCGGGACTCGATGACGATGCTCTGGAGCAGCCTTCCTCGACATTGAGAAACACCCCGGAAGGCTGCTCCAGAGCCACTATTTCAAGGATGCTACGTCATCGAGTGCCGCCGAAGGACTGTTCCAATGTCTAGGATACTTGGAATTCTACCGAGGCCGGCGTCCTTCGTTGCGGGAAATTTCGAGGCTGCACATGTGTATCCTCCGCGGTCTTAAAATCCCCACAATGCTTTGCGCACGGACCAATTTCCAAAATCTTTGGCGGAAATGGCGCTCCATTTAAGGCGGGGCCTCGTATATGACGCACACCTGCTAGTTCCACCATTCTTTGTTTTCCGAGGCTAGGAAGGATTCTTGCCTCGCTTCTGAAGGACCTGCTGACTCGGAGGGACATGTCCTACCAAGGAAGCGTCCTCGACATTGAGAAACACCCACTAAGACATTAGCATTGTTAGCTCGTTGCTAAGCGTCCCTGTGCAAGTTTATCAAATCTTCCTCGTTCATTTTCACTTATATTCAGCCCTTAATTCCATCGCTGCACATCTTTTGGTTTCTTGGTCCAGTTTACGTGTTGAAATCCTTCCTACATCAAGACTCTGTGTGATAACTCGACAACATGTAAAGCATTTCCACTTGTAATGTAATAACACCCACATTTTTGTAAGAGATAGCAGCGCAGCATCATTTGGACAAAATAAGAAATTGGGATTTTAAATATCATTAATAAGTTATCAACCTTTTGAGCGCACTCTATTTTTTCCAAATGGCTTTATAATAAGTCTACTGATATTAAAGGTCCCCTATTATACTGTTTTTCATCAATATATTACAGGTCTCAGATATATCCAGAGCCTGTCTCTGATTGGCTGAAACACCAAACAGATCATTGCAGCATTACCCATAATCCCCTCTGTTTCAGCCCTGTTTCCAAAGTGCTGATTCTCTGTCTGTTACTTCAGATGAAAATAAGGAACCCCTCCCCACGCCCCTCTGAGAGAGATTTGGTTACAAAGAACACAATGGTGCTCTAGGAGGAGATTCAGGTGATCGGGGGGGGGGGGGGGGGGGGTTACCTTGGTTGGTGATTGGCTAATGGTTACACAAGCCAAAACATCGTGATGACATCATAAAGTGGCCAAAATCTGATCAGCTCATTTTCAGACAGGTTTTTATATAAATGGATCAGGACAAAAAGAGAGAGAATCTTTGTACATGTTGATGTAGAAGAGACATGAAGAAGAGGGGACACATGTTGATGTAGAAGAGACATGAAGAAGAGGGGACACATGTTGATGTAGAAGAGACATGAAGAAGAGGGGACACATGTTGATGTAGAAGAGACATGAAGAAGAGGGGACACATGTTGATGTAGAAGAGACATGAAGAAGAGGGGACACATGTTGATGTAGAAGAGACATGAAGAAGTGGATTCTGCATAATAGGTGACCTTTAAAATATTCCTTATATAACTACAAGACGTGTCAGTAAATATTAGGGCTGCACAATATGGAAAAAATAATGAAATATATTGGATATTTGAGAGAATTGCACATTTTAAAAACATTTTTCACATAAAAAATATATGAAAATGCTCAAAGTGTGATTTGTACCAAATACTGTACTTTTATTACGTTTTTACAAACATTATTTTGCCTAAAGTATTACTCTATATAATTGAGTTTAATTGTGCCGCCCTTATATCCAACCGCACGGCAACATGTAAAACATTTCCCCACTGTTTAATTAAATATGAATTATTTAATATTCAGTGTTTATTTGAATGAAAATGTCATAAATCCTGCATTATGTAAACAAAATCTACAATTATAGGTATATTTAAGGAGGAAAGTGATGCAGTTCTGTGGGATTAAAGATACTAATATAATCAAATGTTAACATTCAATCATAAAAATCCTTATAGATGGATGTAACACATGCGTCACTTCAGGGCAAAAAGTACGGCTCCGCCCACTTTTGGGGGAAAACAAAGCTGTCATTTGAACGGCGGTCAATACACATTCTGAAGTTTTTGCCAATCCGATCAGAAATGTAAGAAAACCGTGGATTTTCTGATCTTCAAAGACTCTGATTACGATGGTCAGACAGGCAAACAATTACATTAAATCATTGGAAATCAACGATCGGGCTCGATATATGGTTAAATATAGCAGTAGGCGATCGATGTCCACAGATGAGAGTAACATCTACGTCACTTTACGGCCCCGCCCACTTTTGGGGGAAACCAACGCTGTCATTTGAATGGTGATCGAGCCTGAAGCCACAGAGCTCCTTTCTTCTTAGAGGAAGTACAGAAAAACTGAACTCTGGATTTGTTTTAATGTTTGAGGTGCAATGAAC